CAAAACTCTATGGTTCAATCACAGAGAGCCCCGCTCCTCTGCCAGTAAGTGCCTGGCTGGTTGCCAACCTTGGGCTGGCGTCCCTACTTTAAAACAAGTTATTTTATTTTGTCCTTTTTGTTGTTTTAGGGCTAGCATCCATCAGTCTCTGGCTGAGACTGCAAGCTGCAGGAGCTCACTCCCCGGGAGCATTTTCATAGAACTGTAGAATGACAGAGTTGGAAGCAGGGTTCCCAAGTACTTACTGTGATCCGGCGGGGGAAACATGCTCCCCGGCCGGACCATTCCTCCCTGTAACACACCATGCCGTCGCCAGGAAGTGATGCGGGGCGATGCTCTGGCAGTGGGACTGAAAACTCTATGGTACCATGGAGTTTCCAGCCCCATTGCCAGAGCGTCGCCCGGCGTCACTTCCTGGCGACGGCATGGTGCGGCGTGTCTGTTGTCCCCGCAGGAATGATCCTGCGAGGATGTCTGTGTCCCCCGCTGAATCACGGTAAGTACTTTGGAAGCCTGGTTGGAAGGGGCCATACAGGCCATCTAGTCCAAACCCCCTGCTCAATGTAGGATCAGCCTAGAGCATCCCTGATAAGCGTTTGTCCAGCCACTGCTTGAAGACTGCCAGGGAGGGGGAGCTCACCACCTCCCTGGGCAGCTGATTCCACTGTTGCACAACTCTGACTGCCAAAGTTTTCCCTACTATCCAGCCCCAGTACCTTCCCACCCTTAATTTAAACCCATTCTTGCGAGTCCTCTCCTCTGCTGCCAACAGGAACGGCTCCCTGCGCCTCCTCTAAGGGACAGCCCTTCAAATACTTCAAGAGAGAGCAATCATGCTGGATAAAAGAAAGTACTTCTTCACCCAAAGAGTGATCAACGCATGGAATTCACTGCCACAGGAAGTGGTGGCAGCTACAGGCATGGGCGGCTTCAAAAGGGAATTAGATAGGCATATGGAGCAGAGGTCCATCAGTGGCTATTAGCCACAAGGTATAGATAGGGGCTCTGGGGCAAGTGATGCTCTGTCTTCTTGGTGCTTGGGGGGGGGGTCAACAGTGGGAGGGCTTCTGATGTCCTGGCCCCACTGGTGGACCTCCTGATGGCACCTGGTATTTCTGGCCACTGTGAGACACAGAGTGTTGGACTGGATGGGCCTTTGGCCTGATCCAACATTGGCGTCTCTTATGTTCTTATGCCCCCCACCTCCTCTTCTCCAGACTAAACATTCCCAAGTCCCTCAGCCTTTCCTCCTAGGGCTTCTTGGTCTCCAGGCCCCCCCATCATCCTCGTCGCTCTCCTCTGCACCCGCTCCGTTCTGTCCACACCCTTTTTCAAGTGAACGGCCCACCCCAGTGTTTGTTTAAATGCAGGCTGACCCAAACCTGCATGGCCTGCAGCCGTTGCTCTAATACTAAAGCAGCTAGCCCCTGTGTGGATGACACAAGCAGCCAAAATAGGCCCAGATAAGTATGACGTTGCAAATTAACCAAAAGAAAAAGATACCCAGTACGGTCCAAGGAGGAGTGAATATACTCCAGAAGACAGCGGATGTCATATTTTAGATTGCAAGTCTCACAGGGCAGGGACTATTCGTGAACAGTATGCTATCGCAGATGCTGGAGAGCCAGCGTGGTGTAGCCATTAAGACCAGGGGTTTTTAATCTGGAGAACTGGGTTGGATTCCCCACTCATTCACTTAGGTCAGCCTTGGACCAGACACAGTTCTCTCAGGACTCTTTCAGCCTCACCTACCTCACAAGGTGCTTGCTGGGGGGAGAGGAAGGGAAAGGTGATTGTAAGCAGCTTTGAGACTCCTTGGCATAGAGGAAAATGAGGTATACAACCCCCCCCTCCTCCGCCTCTTCTTCTGAGAGGGCTCTCTCAGTCATAACACCAAAATTATGGAACTGGCTTCCCAGGGACATTCGTCTGTCCCCTTCCATCACTGTTTTTACCAGCAGATGAAAACTTTTCTTTTTGTTTCATCCGGAGTTCTCTCAACCACCTCTCCTTCCTGCCCTGTTGGGTTATATATGCCTTTTACTTTTGGTTTTAAATCGGCTCTACGATGTGCTTTACAACCTCCCACTGTTAACTGTTAGCTGCCTTGGTGGCCCTGATGGGACAGAAAGGCAGAATATAAAATTCTGTAAATAAATAATGCATCGGGAATGCTAAATACATAGATGTGGTGGTCATTACTATTATTGCATCGTGTCTTCCAGCCAGTTTGGTGTAGCAGTTAAGTGCGCGGACTCTAATCTGGGAGAACCGGGTTTGATTCCCCACTCCTCCACTTGCAGCTGCTGGATGACCTTGGGCAAGCTGTAGTTCTGATAACAGCTGGAGCGGTTTCTGTCAGAGCTCTCTCAGCCCCACCGACCTCACAGGGTGTCTGTTGTGGGGAGGGGAAGGGAAAGGAGTTTGTAAGCCACTCTGAGACTCCCTTGGGTAGTGAAGGGCGGGGTATAAATCCAATCTCTTCTTCTTCTGTCAGAGCTGTTCTCTCAAGAGCAGTTTCTGTCAGAGCTCTCTCAGCCCCGCCTACCTCACAGGGTGTCTGTTGTGGGGAGGGGGAGGGAAAGGAGTTTGTAAGCCACTCAGAGACTCCTTTGAGTAGTGAAGGGCGGGGAATAAATCCAATCTCCTCCTCCTCCTCCTCTTCTTCTCCTTCTGTCTGCTGTGGCAGACGTTATTAAGCAGGGCTTGCCACTGAGGATTGGATTCCTTGCATCCCACTTCAATAAACTGAAAGCAGTAGGAACTGCTGCCAACAAGCTAAAATTCAAGTGCCATGTCTTCCCAGCATAGCGCGTTGCTAGGACATACTCTTTATACAACGTTGTCCTGATACTCAAAAGTTAATTGAATCATATTTTAGGTACCACTTTCTGCAAAGCCTGGGGGGTCATCGCTTGCTTCAGGCTGTACAATGGACTTGAGCCGAGCTCTTCTCAAATCCAAGGCCAGCTCGATATTCATTGGACTGGGGTGACTCACTGATTGCCTCCACACAGCTCTGAAATGGGGAAAATGCATATGGCTTTCGTTCCAGATAAGGCGGCCTAAGCCACCGTGCATTTCCCTCTTATTACATTTGCCTCCTGCGGAATGTCTGCCGTGATATTGCCCCGCACAGAAGCTGTCCAAAGAGCAAAAATATCAGTCAACAGAAGCTGGCCGAAGAGCAACAAATATCACAGCACAGCCTGGAAAGTGAAATGCGGGATGTGAGATGCGAAGTCCTGGCTTTGCCAGATGCTGGCTCTTTGGCTCTGAATGAGCCCAGACCAACGGAGGGATTTTCTCTGCCACCCTTCCCCTCCTAGAAGGTGCTTTCTGCTCAGAATCCATGAAGAGGAAGAGGAAGAAGAAGAGGAGGAGGAGGAGATTGGATTTATACCCTGCCCTTCATTCGGAGTGTCAGAGCAGCTCACTGCCACAGGAAGTGGTGGCGGCTACAAGCATGGACGGCTTCAAAAGGGAATTAGATAAGCATACCGAGCAGAGGTCCATCAGTGGCTATTAGCCACAAGCTATAGATAGGGGCTCTGGGGCAAGTGATGCTCTGTCTTCTTGGTGCTTGGGGGGGGGGGGGCAACAGTGGAAGGGCTTCTAATGTCCTGGCCCCACTGGTGGACCTCCTGATGGCACCTGGTATTTCTGGCCACTGTGTGATACGGAGTGTTGGACTGGATGGGCCTTTGGCCTGATCCAACATTGGCGCCTCTTATGTTCTTATGTTCTTTCTTTCCCCTCCCCACAACAGACATCCTGTGGGGTAGGTGGGGCTGAGAGAGCTCTTTCCAGAACTGTCCTTGAGAGAACAGCTCTGACAGAACTACGGCTTGCCCAAGGTCATCCAGCAGGTGCAAGTGGAGGAGTGGGGGACCAAACCCGGTTCTCCCAGATTAGAGTCCGTGCACTTAACCACCACACCAACATATCTCCCTACTCCACCACTCCCTGGCAGAGCCATGATTTTATAAATCTGTACCATACCCCTCTGAGTATTTTCTCTTGACAAAGAGCCCCATGTGTTTTAAGCTCTCCACAAAGTAATGCCCGATCGTTTTAAAGCGGCCATTTTCTATCCTACCCTCCGGCTCCACCAGTTACTTACACGGCAAACCTAGGCAGAGTTAAACACTTCTGAGACCTGGATAGCCCAGGCTAGCCCAATCTCCTCAGATCTCAGAAGACAAGCGGGGTCAGCCCTGACTGCTATTTGGATAGGAGACCTACAAGGAATACCATGGTCATGACGCGGAGGCTGGCAATGGCGAACCACCCCTGAACGTCTCTTGCCTTGGAAACCCTACGGGGTTGCCATAAGTCAGCTGTGATTTGAAGGTACTTTCCTCCACCACCTCCAAGTCCAACAGGGCCAATGGGTTCACGGTCAGAGCAGTTCAAAGGTGGAATCAGCTGCCTAGGGAGGGGGTGAGCTACCCTTCACTGGCAGCTCTCAAGAAGAGGCTGGATGAATATTTGTCAGAGATGCTCTAGGCTGGTCCTGCATTGGACAGCGGGTTGGACTAGATGGTCTGTAGGGCCCCTTCTATGAACTCTATGGTTCTATGAACTCTGCTGAGGATTGCACTGTTAACCAACTGTGTGAACACGCTTTCAGGCTGTTTGAAGCTGCCCGGAAGATCTAACCCACAGAAGACCTCTTTTTCCATCAAGCCCCTCAGACGAGTCTGTTATTCACAGTTCGGCACTCTTTGCAGCCGCCAGAATCGACCCCCTCCCCTAAAAATATCTGAAAGCACTTAAAAAAAGAGAAATACAACGAGCACCAGAGCTTGTTTGCTATGGAGAGTTGTCTGTCTGATAGGACTTCTTCCCGTCCAATTTGTATGTATAATTGGATTACTGGAAATTTAAGGCAAGGGGGATTAGCTTGATGTTCCAAACGTCACACCCTGGTTACAAAACGGTGCCTTGGAGCTGGACTTTGGCGCAACAGCTTCGGGAACAAAAAAGGGCCTCCTCACCTGTGTGCTATGGCGGGTTTGTGTCCTTCTTCCTTGCACCAGGGGACATCTTCATGCAGGTAAGAGAGTCCACGAGCCATTGTTTCGGCGACATGACAGAGTTCATTCCAACTGATAATATTCCCCTTCAGATAGTCAGTCAGGGACCCCTGGAGAGAGACCAGAGCATCTGTTGAACTTTGTCAAAGACTCTGATGTCTTTATTGTTTTATCTGTTTTATATGGGCTTTGCCCCTTGTAAGCCGCCCTGAGCCCGCTCTGCGGGGAGGGCGGGGTATAAATCTTAATAATAAATAATAAATAAAAATAAATAAATAACACAGCGAATGGCTCCTACAAACGATCGCTAAAGTGCACTGAAAAGTGGACTCGAAGTGCATTATTCGGCATGTGCGAAAGGGCTTTATCTTTATCTAAGCACTTGGACCTCGCAGCAAATGGGCTTAATTAAGCCAGGAGGTATTCTGTGACAAGAGGTGGGCGAGGTTACGTGCATGCACACAGAGCGAGTAGTCTGTGTTTGTGTATGACGCTGGCCGACCTCTGCTGAATTACCACTTCTGGTGGCATTTGAATTCAGCCCTAGAAGTGCAGACTGGCACAGAAATTGTAAACGTAATTATATGGAACAAGGGGCGGGGCCCGCGATACTCTCTAAGCATTTGGACCTCGCAGCAAATGGGCTTAATTAAGCCAGGAGGTGTTCTGTGACAAGAGGTGGGCGAGGTTACGTGCATGCACACAGAGCGAGCAGTCTGTGTTTGTGTATGACGCTGGCAGACCTCTGCTGAATTACCGCTTCTGGTGGCATCTGAATTCAGCCCTCGAAGTGCAGACTGGCACGGAAATGGGAAAAGTAATTATATGGAATAAAGTGGTCCATGGTGCATGCTGGGATTAAATGTGGGTCCTGAGTCTGGGACTGAGGGCGACTATGACCAGAAAGGAGCTGAGAGGGCCAGGACGCATAGTGGTGAGTTTGCAGAGGCCAGGCTGTAAACATCAAAAGAAGCCAGTCTGAATTTTTCATAACTTACACAATTTTGATCAGTTTTAATCCGCTCTAGATGCTTTAGTCTGCTGCAAGCAAATGGACCGAGATGCTGCCCTCATTCAAGTGTTTCCTCATCTTTTTTTTTAAACAGCAGCTTAGAATCAAGAGCTGTGGCTGGAACTGATGTTTGCCTCTCTGGTCCAAACCTCTGTGGGTTTCCGAGTCTTTAGTGGACACAACTTGTTTGACATTGATAGGAACTCGCCTTTCAAAAATGGTGGAGGTTACCTTTTTTTTCCTGCCCTGACCTGGACAACCCAGGCTCTACTGACCTTGTCAAATCTCAGAAGTTAAGCTAAGGTCCATCAGTGGCTATTAGCCACAAGGTATAGATAGGGACTCTGGGGCAAGTGATGCTCTGTCTTCTTGGTGCTTGGGGGGGTGGGCGCAACAGTGGGAGGGCTTCTAATGTCCTGGCCCCACTGGTGGACCTCCTGATGGCACCTGGTATTTTTGGCCACTGTGTGACAGAGTGTTGGACTAGATGGGCCTTTGGCCTGATTCAACATTGGCGTCTCTTATGTTCTTATGTTCTTGAGCAGGGTCAGTTCTGGTTACTACTTGGACCCCCATGGAAGTCCAGTGTTGCTTCACAAAGGCAGTCAATCAGCAAACCACCTCTGCTCATCTCTTGCCTTGAAAACTCAAGCCATAGGTCAGCTGCAACTTGATGGCCCCTTTCTACCACCACCTTGTTTTCATTTATTGCGGAGGAATCAGGAAGTACGCGACAGCCCTCTGCTGCATCACTTTTAATTGTTGCGCAAAAAGTCAAGCAGATGGCATGAACGAGAACTGTAAGCAATCGCTACTGTGGTTCCCACTTACAACACTGTACAAGAAGAAGAGGAGGAGGAAGAGGAGTTTATACCCCGCCCTTCACTACCGGAAGGAGTCTCAGAGCGGCTCACAATCTCCTTTCCCTTTCCCCTCCCCACAACAGGGCACCCTGTGAGGTAGGTGGGGGCTGAGAGAGCTCTCTCGAGAACTGCCCTTGAAAAAACTTATGACTGACTGGTCACACCAGCATCTGCATGTGGAGGAATGGGGAATCAAATCCGGTACAGCACTGCAGGCTCCTCTTATACATAACAGGGCTTGGAAGGAACGAAAGGCAGCCAAGTGCCGTCATGCCTTCTCCCACTGAAGGTCAACATGGATGGGGTGAAAGGAAAAAGAGGGTGGGGCCAAATCCCAGTCCTCAAGGGGACCGAAACAGAGTCTGCCTTTTTCTAACCCATCTCCTACCATTTCACGTAGTGGAAACAGGTAGGGGGGAAATAGGGCTGGACTGATCCTGCTCCAGTTGTCCTTCAGATCTTCCTGCACCTATTTGGTTTGGTGTGGTGGTTAAGTGCGCAGACTCTGATCTGGGAGAACCGGGTTTGATTCCCCACTCCTCCACTTGCACCTGCTGGATGACCTTGGGCAAGCCATAGTTCTAATAAGAGCTGTCCTTGAAAAAGAGCAGTTTCTGTCAGAGCTCTCTCAGCCCCACCTACCTCACAGGGTGTCTGTTGTGGGGAGGGGAAGGGAAAGGAGTTTGTAAGCCGCTCTGAGACTCCCTTGGGTAGTGAAGGGCGGGGTATAAATCCAATCTCTTCTTCTTCTTCTATCAGGAATGACAATATGTATACACATATCTGGCCACTAGATTTGAGACGGGTAACAACTTAAATCCAACAAAATTTTCGGGTTATGAGAACCCAGGAGCTTTGGCTCTTGAAAGCTCATACCTCGAAAAATCTTGTCTGTCTCTCAGGGCTCTTTTTGTAGCAGGAACTCCTTTGCATATTAGGCCACACCCCCTAATGTAGCCAATCCTCCAAGAGCTTACAGAGCTCTTCTTACAGGAGCTACTGAAAGCTCTTGGAGGATTGGCTACATTAGGGGTGTGTCGCTTAATATGCAAATGAGTACCTGCTACACCTGCTTAAGGTGCTACTGGACTTGAATCTGGCTTTCCTGTGGCTGCCCCCTGAAACGGTCAACCCATCTTTTACCTTGTCATGGAAAGCTGTGATCAGCCACAGTTCCATCTCCAGATTCGTTCCTCGTTTCTCCGCCCCAATGAACTGCAACAGGTTTTCATGCTTCATCCCTGGGGTGTTGAAAATCTCCCTCTCGCTTTGCCAGGACTGCTTATCCTACGAGGACAGAGAGAAGTGAGTTATGATTTAAAAGCAAAACAATGGTGTGTGTGAGCAGTGCTATTCCTAGGCATTCGTCTGGCTGTCCCGTTCTATCAGTTAACAGGATCCCAAAGAACCTTGCAAATTGGTTTGTTGGAGTGCCTGGGGGTTCTTTGTCACGGGGCTATGTTTGGCTCACTTCAGCTGCAAAGTCCTTCTCGTCTCGCAATACAGAGTAAATGGCTTTGATGTGCAAGAATACAGAAATGAAGTGCTTTGCTTCTGGAGCTGGCCACTGTTCTCTTGGGGGGGGGGGGGGGGTTCCCGAGAGGAAAGGGCTGATCTAAATGGATTTGTCTGTAATGGGAACTGACCTTGGTATATGTTACTCAGCCCAGAATGCCGCCTGAGAGAGTTAAATCCTCCCCGCACGTCTCCCCGTTTTCATCTGATGAGCATCAACTATTATCATCAAATTTAAATTGAGTCTTATTGACTCTTCATCACCTTGGGAACCTTCTCTGGCAGAGAGGCAAAGCATGGATTTTATAAATAAATAAACATATGATTAAATCCTTCCTTGCATTTGACGCGCTGCAAACACCGCAACGTCCCTTAACTTGAAGAATCAGGCAGAGAAAGTTTAATCAGCTCACTTCATGGGAAATCAGAGAGAATAAGGATACACTGATGTTCTGTCAGACCGCTTTCCGCACACTTCAAAAGGGAAAAGGGGGGAATAAGGAGGCCGCGTAAAATCATTAGCAGGCAGAGCTCAGTTAAAGGTTTTCCGAGAAAGCACAGAAAAGAACAAGGGCTGTGCAGACATTAACCAGATTTAAACTCTTTTGTGTATAATCTTAACAGTTACAGGCTTCTAATCTGGATTAGGATAAAATATCCAACTAGTTAGTCAGAGCTGGAACAGATGACACAGAAACCTTCTCCTCTAAATCCGTAATGTCGAACGAATTGAGGCGGATTAAAGAATGAGGTACAGTGCCTACAGGAGTCTCAAGGCCTATCTAAACCGCAGATTTAAACGTGGTTTAATAAGCATTCTGTCTCTCTGTGTCAGAGAAATCTGGGAATTGTATTTTCTAAGGAGGATTCCCATCCTCCTTAAAAGGCAAAGGTTTCCTGTTGTGTATGTAATGGAATGGAATGAATGTACTGAGCTTGAAATCTTGAAAGGTATTGTAAATAGACCTATCAGAACAAAGGAAGTTTTGGAGGGAAGAGAAATGATTGGCCTTTATGTAAAGTGTGTGATTGGACCTTAGCTGACATGTGGGCATGGCTTGCCAAGCCCGGACAGTTTTAAAAGGAGCCTGTTGCTCCATTGATTTGTCTCGTTCTGGTTCTTCTGACTTCGTGTTCAATAAAGCTGTTAATCACTGTTCACCTGCTGCCTGAGTCTCGTATCTAACAATTGGCGACGAGGATGGGATTATAGAGCGGGTAGGCAGCCCCGCTGAACCGACGCCAAGACGGCGGACGACCAAGAAGCCCCTGTGGAACCCAGGGCGGAAGAACGAGACCTGGCTGATCAAGCAGCTGCAGCACTTGTGCCGGTACAGAGAGCAGTGATGGCCGTCAACCCAAGGTTCGAGGCATTCGAACCCAACCTTAAGGACTGGGATTCCTACCTGACCAGGTTCGAGTTCCACCTCCAGGCTAACCAGATCGAGGGTGTGGACCAGCAGAAGGCGACGCTCCTCAGCTCCTGCGGAAGGGCTGTCTTCGATGTTGCTCGGTCGCACCTCCGCACTGACCGCCTATCGCCTTTGTTAGGATGGCAATAATTGGGGGGGGGGGGGGGGAATGGCACTAAGCCGGGATGGCCTGAGCAGACCATCCCGATGGCACGACGGCATGTTTGCGCGATCAGACAGGGGAAAGTCCATCTGTGGCCCATTGGAACCCATTTACTACCGGACTTTCCCCGGTGTCTTTTAACTCCGCTTCCGTAGTGGAGCAGCATGGGTTGCTGACGCCCGCGGGACGCTTCCCAGATGTTGCTGTCTGATCGTGCCCTTTAGATCCGTCAGGCATTTGCACCTATGTCGGATCTAAAGGCGCAGTCAGCCTGGCCTCTGGCTGTTCTAGCTGCCATGGGTATGAGGGGGGGACTCTGGAATGTTAACTTTCATTTCTGCTGTATTCCGGTCTTTCTTTATCTACGTAACTAAAGCCTTCGACCTTGAGTGTCTGGTGTACTTTTCTCCTGAGAACGCTTGCCCGTTACTTTGGCGGGTTCCTACCTGGCCTCTGATTGGACCTGAGCCATCAGGGGACACTCTTGAATAATGTATATCTGCTTGCTTCGCGCGCTTTAGGCCACTTCTAACACTGAAAGTGTTAAGATATCTGCATACTTTCACTGTTTCAATAAACTTCTTCGAATGAAAGCTGTTGGGAACTGATTGCTGCAGGAGCCTGACAGGCACGTGTGATCACAGCCTGATGTCTCCATTGACTGGCGTCAGCTCTCCAGAGTCCAAGGCAGAGGTCTTCCACATTGCCTATGACCTGATACTCTTTAACCAGAGGTGGCAAAGCAGGCGCTCTATTTAGTTATCTATTTAGCAAATTTTTATGCTGCCTCTCCAGGGAGCCTCCCCGAGGCATCTTACAAAAAAAATATTAATAAAAACAAAAACCAAAAAAATTAAAATGGGGGGCCCTAACATGATGCCCGTGGGTGCCACGGCAACCGCCAATACCTTTTCTGTTGCCCGCAATGTGCCTTTAGGGAGTGGGCATGGCCAGGTAGCGTTTTTTGCCAGCAAGGCTTCTGATTGGAAATTTGATTGGCTGTGGAGATTTGATTGGCTGAGGAGATTTAATTGGCTGTGGAGATTGGCTGTGGAGATTTGATTGGCTGTGGCGACTGGCTGTGGAGGTTTGATTGGTTGTGCCACCACAGCACGAGGGACTTCACTGTGTTGTGACTGAAGGTAAGAGATGGCAGCCATGGTGCGGCTGGCTCCACCTCCCTCAAGCTCTTTTCTCCAGATCGGCAGGTTTCAAAGAGTCAGTAGCCATGTTCGCCTTGCGGCACCTTAAGGACTAGCAAAGTCAGCTATGGCATAAGCTTTTGTGGCTCTGGTCCACAGAACATTATGCCATCAAAGAAGAAGAGGAGGAGTTTCAAAGCAGCCTACCATCACCCCTCCCTTCCTCTTCCCACAGCCGGCACCTTGTGAGGGAGGTGGGGCTGAGAGAGTTCTGAGAGAACTGGGACTGGCCCAAGGCCACTCAGCAGGCTTCATGTGGAGGAGGAGTGGGGAATCAAGCCCGGTTCCCCAGATTAGAATGCACCTCTCTTAACCACTACGCCACAGGAGGTCATTAAAGGTACTGCACGACTCCTACTTCACCCCCTCCAGCCTCAGTTACAGCGGAGGATCTGTCAGAACACATCTCTTGAGTTCCTCAGGGGGAACCGTGTTGAGAAAGGAAGGTATATATGGAATAACTTGAGCCCCTTGTCTGGCCCTGAAGTGAGCGGCTGAACTGCTACGAAGGGCTTTTTCTCCTGAGCTTCTGCTAATCCTCATGCTGGGGAGGAGAGCAAATGCTGTTAAGATGCTGTTAACGGCTTCTGTCTGTCCAAAATATGTCTTCCCCCCTCCCGTTAAAAACTAGTTGCTGATTAGAGGCCGAGAATCTCTCTGAAATCCAACCCACAGGTGTGAAGCAATTCTTTCTGAACCGCAGAGGAAGGTCCCCACTCACCTGTATGGGGAAGATTTTCACGGCTACGTAATCGTTCACCAGCTGAGCCTTCCAGACACAGCCGAAGCGCCCCCTCGCTTTGATCTCCAGCAGCTGCAAAGGCTTCAGCCCAACCAGCGGAGAAGGGGGCGGCGGACCCGGGTCCTAGGAAGGAGATATCGATTAAGAGGATGTAAAGGGTGAGTTTGAGACAAGTATGCTTTGATGTCTCGGATGGCCAACAGGCAACCCGAGATGGATCTGGCCCTGGGCCTGCTGACCCCATGGACCACTGTATTCTTGGTGCTTGGGGTGGGGGGGGTCAACAGTGGGAGGGCTTCTAGCATCCTGGCCCCACTGCTGGACCTCCTGATGGCCCCTGGTGTTTTTGGCCACTGTGTGACACAGAGTGTTGGACTGGATGGGCCCTGGCCTGATCCAACATTGGCTTCTCTTATGTTCTTACGTTAGGACAAACATTCTCTTTGCCCCACCCACATTACATAGACCCAAGTCAATCAGATGCAAAACTCAAGCCGGGCTTTTAAATTTAAAAAGGCAGACTGTTCTTTAGCACTTCTGATGTGGGAAACTAATGAGTAAGCTGTGGTTTGGATCCTGTGAATGAGTTCCATCGACACCAGCATCTGCCACGGAATTTCTCTTCTGCTAAAACTTCCATGTGCACGTGGTCAGTTTATTTCAAGGGGCCCTTGTACAATTGGAAGTGGAAGTGAAAGAGGGAATGCGCTCCATGACAAACGCTACCTCGTGCACACGGAACTCATTCACAGGATCAAAGTGTGTGCCTTTTAAAAAAAACAAACACCTGAAGTCTCAAGTAACATCCAAATACATGCATTAAGTCTTTTTCTAAGCTATGCTCAAATGAATATTTTAAAAAATGTGTCTACTTGCAAGTAACTTCCAACAACCGGATTAGGAAGTGGTGTTAACAGGGCCATCATGCAGGGCAGGAAAGGTTTAATTAAAGGCAGTCCCACTTTCCCCATGTCCCAAAGAAAGCTAAAAGCTATCAAAGGCTACGGACGAAACGAGCAACAGTTCTAGGATGCAGTGCAGCCACTTAAAATAAAGGGCATTTCCTTCCTCTCTTGATCTTGAAGGACCAGGACTATTTTTGGGCAGGAACGCACAGGAACGGAGTTCCGGCTGGCTCCCAAGTTGGCCACGCCCAGCAGGAAGTTATTAGCATAATAGGCCACACCCAACAGCAGAAACTCATTAGGATTGGCTACATTAGGGGTGTGTGGCCTAACATGCAAAGGAGTTCCTGCTACAAAAAAAGTCCCTGGGTTTTGACAACAAACAAGGTAAACAGAATAAGAAGCAAAAGATGGGTGTGGCTGGATGACCACAGTTCTGGTAACATGGGGGTGCGGCCTCATAGGCTAATGAGCTGTGCTATCAGGGGTGTGGCCTAATATGCTAATATGTTTCTGCTGTTGGGTGTGGCCAATTATGCTAATGAGTTCCTGCTGGGCTTTTTCTACAAAAAAAGCCCTGTGAAGGACCATCACACTTTTAAAATGCCGAACTATCTTCTTTCCCTCTCCTCTCCATTCTTTCCGCCTCTGCTAAGGGTCATCACCAATGTTCCCTCTAAGCTGTGGATCCTTGTGAGCAAAAATTCTACTTTGTGAGCTACTGGGCATGAAAGTTGTGAGCCAGCAATTTGTTTACTACATAAATGAGTTTGCTTTGGAGCCATCATTCCTGAGCAAAGACAAAAATGTGTGAGCTGGAGGCTAAAAAAAACTGTGAGCCATCTCACACTAAGTCAGCTTAGAGGGAACACTGGTCATCACTACATGCCGTATCGATGAGTTCTGTACATGAGGAAGTCCTTTCTTTAGTTTCTCCACAATCTTCTATTCACCAACCTCACTGGGTGCCCACCAAATTCTAGTATTTTGGGAGTGGGAGACAAGTTCTTCATATTTTCCCTTTCACTAACCATGTGTCACTTCATAAATCTCTCTCGTGTCCTTGCCCGCCACCGTTTCAAAAACTGAAAAGTCATAAACCCCAAAAGCCTTTCTTTGCAGAAAAGGTATTTAGACCTCTAAATCATGTTGGTTGCCCTTCTCTGCACCTTTTCCATTACTGCAATATCTTTTTGAGCTCGAGTGACAAAACTTGTATACAGTATTCCAACTCTGACCACACCACAGATCTGTACAGGCAGTATTTAGGGGTGTAGGCAGAGTACGTTTTGCCTTGAGCTACCCTTCTGAAACCCTAGTCATGGGGTGCTTGCGGTGGTGCTTCCTGGTGCTCGCCAAGTGTTTTCAGAAAGTGGGTGAGGTCAGGTGGAGCTTTTGCCCACCCCAGCCTCTGATTGCCCGCTGGGAGATGCAACTGGCTGTGCAGACTTTTAAGACTGCTTTGGCAAGTCACAAGGATCTTCAATGTCTGATTGAAGACAAGGTATGTGTACGCAAGGAAATATTTTTAAACAATATGTACATTAGGGATGGGCACAGACCGGGAAAATGCGGTTTGGTTTGTGGCGTGCCCAGTTCGTGAACCACGAACTGTCACAGACTTTTTCGGGTTAATGAACCGGTTCACAGTTTGTGAAGTTCATGATATGGTAGAGCAGCCCCCCCGCCCAGCATGCTAGGGACACCAAAATTGCAGAGAATCTCCAGCTCACTCTGCTGTACCTGCCCGCCAAGTATGGTGAGGACTGGATATATGGGGTCCAAATTATGCCCCCCCAGAAGGTGCCCCCTTCCTCCATTGTTTCCAATGGACTATGGTCAAACTAGAGAATCTCTCAGTAGAAACTGAAGGTGGGGGCATTTCTGCAGGTTCCAGAGTGGAATGGCAGCCCCTGGGAGTAGCACAGAATCATAGAGTTGGAAGGGGCCATACAGACCATCTAGTCCAACCCCCTGCCCAATGCAGGACCAGCCTAAAGCATCTCTGACAAATATTCGTCAAGCCTCTTCTTAAAAGCTGTAAGTGAAGGGGAGCTCACCACCTCCCTAGTTAGCTGATTCCACCTTTGAACCACTCTGACCATCATAAAGTTTTTCATAATATCCAGCCGATACCTTTCTGCATGTAATTTAAATCCTTTGCTTCGGGTCCTCTCCTCTGCTGCCAACTGGAACAGCTCCTGGCCCTCCTCCAAATGACAGCCTTTCAAATACTTAAAGAGAGCAGTCATGTCCCCCCTCAATCTCCTCTTCTCCAAGCTAAACATTCCCAGGGCCCTCAGCCTTTCCCCTCGTCGCTCTCTTCTGCACCCTCTCGATTTTGCCCACATCCTTTTTTAAGTGAGGCCTCCAGAACTGCACACAGGACTCCAGGTGTGGCCTGACCAAGGCAGTATACAGAGGGGCTATGACCTCCTGAGATTTCGATGCTATGGCCCTTTTAATACAACCCAAGACTGAATTCGCCTTTTTTGCCACCGCATCACACTGACTGCTCATATTTAGTTTGCAGTCCACCCTTACCCCAAGATGTCTTTTGCATACACTACTCCCCAGAAACGTATCCCCCATCCAGTATTTGTGCTTGATATTTTTGTGGCCCAGATGTAATACTGTACATTTATCTTTGTTGAGTTGCACCCTGTTTGCAACTGGCCCACTTCTCCAGAGTATTCAGGTCTTGTTGAATTTTAACTCTATCTTCTTGGGTGTTTGCTACTCCCCCCCAATTTGGTACCATCAGCAAATTTAATGAGTAGCCCTTCTGCGACAGGAATGACACCCCCCCTCCATTAGAATGGCAGCCCCTGGGAGCAGCAAAGGTGTCCTGGGACTGGCAAGCACTGCAACCCAGTGAGGTGTGCCCACAACACTCCCAGACCCCCTGAGGCCCAAAGACATAGGTCCTCTGGTCACAGCCAACTTTCCATCCAAGCTCCACAGTGTTATGAGCAAAAATTCTACCTTGTGAGTGGGAAAAGCTAGTAGCATTAGAGTTTCAAAACAATTGGACTAGAGGGGGGGGGGTTCCAATGCTATGAGCCCCAGAAAGAGGCGCCCTCATCCTCCAATGTTTCCCATGGTCACAGTGCCCCCATTGGCTACAGCCCTGTGCATAAGGCAATCACAGAATCCAAAGTCAAGATTCCAGGCTTACTGTTCTGAAGATCTGCAGTAAGATGTGCATGCATACTGGGCTGCTGGCTACAAGGTCAACAGCGCCAGTGCACGGTACCCATCAATACAGTGCAAAAGCCGGCTTTTTGTTTGTTTCAAGCCACATTAAGGATCTTACTGTTTCCCCAAAGTCTGTTTCAATATTTAAAGACAAAAGCAGAGACATTTTTCTCCTCCCTTGAATTTCAATTAGCTTGGCATTTTACCATGTATTATTCTAATGAAAAGCATTAACTTAGGAAAGCAAAATCAGGCTAATGCACTTCTGCAAAAAAAAGAAAAAGAAAAAACGAGATGTAAGTAGGAACTCAGCAAACTTTGCTCCCTGTTCCCAGCAACGACAGAAGTTTTTAAAAGCGATGTTCTATATGACATTCTCAAGGATCTCTCTCTCCTCTGCTCTAATCAACATTTCCCCTCCTTTCACGATGCTTGCGGAACAACTGCAGAAGAAGAAGAGATTGGATTTATACCCCGCCTTTCACTCGGGAGTCTCAGAGCAGCTTACAAACTCCTTTCCCTTCCCCTCCCCACAACAGACACCCTGTGAGGTAGGTGGGGCTGAGAGAGCTCTTTCGAGGACTGTCCTTGAGAGAACAGCTCTGACAGAACTCTGGCTTGCCCAGGGTCATCCAGCAGCTACATGTGGAGGTTTGGGGAATCAAACCCGGTTCTCCCAGATTAGAGTCTGTGCACTTAACCACTATACCAAACTGTTTAGCCTATAGTATTAGACCCCCTTCCGTCCAATTGTTTTGAAACTTAGAGGGGTTTTTTTTTAGGAGAGGCACCAGCGGCTATGCTGCAAATTTGGTGCCTGTACCTCAAAAAACTGGGGCCCTCAGACCCCCAGATTACAAACCATTACAGAGCACAGAAAGAGCCATCACAGATGCCACCAGCCTGTTTCTAGGATCGGGAGGTCCACATTCCTTTCAGCATCTCAAAGGAAGAAATTTCCCAGCAGTTTTGTACTAGCATCTAGCACTCAGAGGGTCTGAAGAGTGAACCCATCAAGACTGGCCCAGTTAGAACACTTCACCATGGATCTCTTTAACCAATTTTGGTATACCACCTATTCCTGTACAAGTTTGAGGCGGTTCACAAACACGTTGAATAAATACAACATTTAAAGCCCCATATGGCTAGGGACCAACTTATATGAAGGACTGCC